CTGGGATTGAACTGGGATCTGATGTTCATGTATTGAATACTGTTTCATTTTCAGCTGTGGTTGCACTTTATACAAACGCTACTGACCACTAACATGTATCCCTGTAGCCCTATTTGGGTTTTTTGTTACAGGAAAACAAGTCCAAGTCCACACACAGAGACAAAAGACTGAAGATGACTCACATCAGCCAGCCACAGTGAGACGGTGTCCTCCTTGGCAGAGCAGCTCCACAGCAGACTGCAGGCAGCAGATCCCAGACCGGAGCAGAAGTCGGCCTGCTGCTGCAGCTCCACTCTGCTCTGCCACAGCTGCTCACGTAACAGCAGCTTTTCCTGAACATCCATTCACGTGGATTCAGTGCAGTCACATACAACAAGTAATAAATAACAGCATGGCTCAAAGCAAGACAAGCCCAAATTCATCAGCCGAGTCCAGTTTCCTCAGTGGGATACCAGAAATATTTTCATGTTATTGTTATGAGTCTGTCCCTCTCACCTCTTTCTCTTTTTGACTCTCAGTTTGCACAGCGTCCAGTCGAGACTGCAGGTGCAGACACTCCTGCCTCATCTGCTCCTTCACAATGTGCTCCTTCACTAAACACAGTTTGAGAGCAGATATTCTTATGTAATGTTTCTAACACTAGTTTTGCACAACATGAAACTTTGTCAGTTTTAAGGTAGAGTTTTCGTCCCATTTTGATTATGTCATAATCTCCCAGTCCTGTAACAGGCCGGCAACCTCTCCGGAGTATAACCGCCTCTAATTCCAACCCCTGAGACCCTAAACTGAATAAGTGGCTGAGAATCGTGATTTATCACACGATCTCCATGGTGGCGGTGAGTGTTCACCATGAGAAAGCAGAGACAGGGTTTCACTGTGGTGGTCCTGGGTTTCTGGACCTTCTATGGGTTTGTAATTCCTTTCATTTTCACAGGGACAAAACAACCAGTTAATAGTTAACAAACCTTCTTTAGTGGGGGACACTGAGGCCTGAGCCCTTCGTGGAGTGTAGCACACAGGGGAACCAGGGGGAGGACATGCTATTAGGGGCCATGGAGTCTAAGCAGTGAATGGCAGTATGCAACTTAAAAGTCCGCGTCTTAGATCTGTGTTCACAGCACACTGTGAACACAGATCTAAACTAGGTGTCATGTAGTAACAGACTTGATGTTCCTGTATAGGAAGAGGAAAAAGGATAGCTTAGTGGTCAGAGATGGACAGGTCAATACAGGGCACATCTCAGGTCCAGTGTGGGACCTCTTAGATGAGGGGAGTCTTTAATATGCTGCGTGCTGCTGAAGCAGTCTAACAGTGGTATCAATTCTGCAGTAAAGGGGCAGCTGTGAGAGTCAATATGGATAAGGAGGCGTGTGGAGGAGGACAAGCTGGGGCTTCTGGGGTGGTAAACAGGGGTTAGAGTGGGCAGAAGAACCCGAAATGCTGTCGTGCCAAAGAGCGATTTCTGATTTTTCCCAGCGTTTTTTTATGTCTCTTTGCTTAGACAAAGATATTAAAGGAAATTTAAAGAAGTTCAGGCGCCTTCTTCCAGGCTCCTTAGACTACCATGAGCTGGATGAATGAGCACCTACACAGATAATCAGACCAGTCCTTTGGGTCACTTCAAATACCTTTATAGAGCTGTGACGTTATATTTGGCGCAGTGCCAGAGCCCTCTTTTTAACGTCAATGACATTTTTTACTCAGATAAATGGGAAAAAACTTAAGTGCAGCGTCTATCATGCAGGCAGGTCAGTAAGAAAACTAAATGACATCTCGGGGGTTGCAGCCTCAGCACAGCCTTTATCATCCCCGTGATGCATTCACGGTGGTGCTGATATTTCAGCATCTCTGCAGCGCTATCGAGGAGGAGCGACGGGAGAAACACGCGTGTGATGGAGGAAGATGTCAGAAAGAGAGGGAACAGAAAAACCTTACATGTGATGACTGATTCGTTTTAGACTTTTAAACCACACGTGATGTTTTGCTGAGCTGGCTTTTTGCTCGTGTTTTTCAAAGGTTGCGTGGAAACAGCAGACGGCTGGTTAGAGTACGGCGGGGTTCGTAAAGAGCGCTTCTCAGCTTTGTCGCGATGACGTCTGCGCCTGTCAGAGGACATCAAGGAGCATGCTCAGTGTCACGAGAGATTTGATGACATCATCATCCAGGAGCGAGGTGATGGCAGAGATCCAGCACAGCCGACGGGACATGTTTCATGGTCGCCATGTCGGAGCACAAGCAGCTAGTTAGCAAGTTAGCCTCTGTGCCAGAGCCAGAGAGACGCGGACACCACCCTGAAGCCAGGCCGTGGAAGGCGGAGGCCAGGATGCTGGCAGATCGGGCTGCTCTCAGAAGAATGGTCCAGTGGAAAGCAGCGGGGGGGATAAACAGCCGGACACAGCAGCAGGTGAGGACACCAGGCACGTAACAGCACCCAAGATACTGTCTCCATGTCTTTAGGAGAATTTGTGGAAACACCACATATTCACCAGTTTGACAGGCAGGAAATACTATTTTTGTTCCCCACCCCAAACTGCTGAAAGCTGGGAACCTGGCATAGCTCGGCATGGTGTGCAATGTCTTCCAAAAAGAAGACACGACCCAATTCTTCTTATATTACCACAACATACTGTGGTGAAACCAGATCCTTCGTGAATAGCAGTGCTGTATGCCTGTGTAGGTCATGGTAATCTAAGGAGCTTGGAAAGAAAAGCAACTGGACTTCTTTAAGGTTCTTGAAGATGTTTGAAGAAACTGGTGGAGAGTCCCAGGTGGCTCACAATACCAGTTGTTTGCCACCTACAATCCAGTTTGGAGATCCCTTCCCAGGCACCTTAACAACCACTCACATCTTGCCAGTTGACCTCAACAGGTCCGGTGAATTGGTGAAGCAAGGTCTCACAATGGTTTCACCCGAAGCCTCTGCTGATAATGACCCACACCCTTTTTCACACCTTGACTCATGTGGTGAGACACATGATCAGTAGTGGGTCAACTCCCACTACGGTCCCACCGGGGACTCTCTTAGAACCGAATAAGCTTCTCGGATGAGAGGTGAAATGTCTTCAAGAAACTTAAAGAAGTCCAGATGCTTTTCTTTCCAAGCTTCTTAGATCAACAGTGCTGTATATTTACTGGTCATCCCCGGGTCAGAGTAGAAGATAAAATGAAGCTAATGAGAAAGCAGGTGCACCTGTCTTTCCTTATCACCTGTGAGGGCTGTTAAACAGACCTGGCTCCACTGACCATCAGACAACTCTGTCTCTCTGTAGTTGGATGTCTTCAACAAGCCTTCAGGTTTATACATTAACTGTATATGTTCTGCTCTGTGATACACACAACACCCTCGTGTTTACAGCAGGATCAGAGTG